CCCGTAAGGTTTTGCCATAGGGCATGTATGCTTGCTGGAGACAAAGAGACAGAGGGAAAGTCAGAAATAACACCCCTCTCATCCTGCCCCAGGAATGGCCACACACACAATACCTTTTCCTCCATTCTCTTCTTGGGATTTTGGGCATGCACATGCGCCTGGTGTGATTTTCAAGCCCTTGTGTCTGAGACTCAAGCCATGTGGGAGTCTAATGCCTTAACTACCATGCTACCTGCTGACCTCATAACCCCTTAGTTTTAGGTATATGCAGCTTTCCTAAGAGGTTTACCACAAGAAGCTACATTTTTGTCTGTAAACATGCTCACACTTTTCCTTACCTCTTCAGCTAGAATTGCTCAAAATTTGGTTTCTCTGCATCTCGCCTCAGGCATTTAGGAAACAAAAAACAAACTGCAACTCAATGTGTGCTAGGAAGCCTCTTCTCATCTTTACTTTCCCGAGACACCAAACCCCTTACTGTAGTTTTGTGCCCCAGACTGGTCTCATCTTTACCCTCTTGTCTGCTAAACAGCAGTTCACAAAATATTCAAGTAAAAGTGGTGTCATATATTATATGACATACTTGTACACATATATATACACACATATATACCTATTTTATTTGCTATATTAAAAAATAAATAAATATAACCAAGTATCAAAAACATTTGGTGGGAACCAGCAGTTAGCGTAATGGCTATGTCGCTGGACTCCCACGTGGTCAACCGTGGTTCGTGTCCCGGACCTGGTGGCTTAAAACTCACGCCGGGCGCGTGTGCGTGCGTGCCCAAGATCCCGAGAGGAGAATGGAGGAGAAGGGATTGTGGCGTGACCATCCCCCCTGGGGGGTGATTTCTCGCTTTCTGTCTCTATGTCTGTCTCTGTCTGTCTGGCGAGCGCACGCGCCCTAAAGTGAAAATCTCTCAAAAAAAACCAAAAAAACAAAAAAAAACATTTGGTAATGTTTTTGAGAGCCCAGACAGCTGGGACTTTTTAAAATACTATATCCCTGCACCTCAAATTTTAAAATAAGATCCTGTTGTCAAAAATGAAGAAAGAATGAAACAATTGATCCAATTGAGTGAGACTTTTTTTTACATTTCTATGAGTTTCATAAAAGGTCAACATGTGATCTCTTGCCTTTGTTGCTAAAAATATTGCTGGCTCTAAAATAATTGTCCTGTTGCTTGAAATAGTGGGAGAGAGTAAATACCCTTGACAAATGGCACATATGGGTTTAGAAAAGAATCCAGGGCACTTAAGACTAGAGGCTCTCCTGGTTTCATCCACTTTTATTCCAGCTCAGCACAAGGGTAGGGTTGCAATAAATAAAATAAAATAAAATAAAATAAAATAAAATAAAATAAAATAAAATGAAAGGCAAATGTTTTCAAATAGAATCACTTGCCTGAATCCAAAAGTAAATTTATAAAAAATCCTGAGCAGCTTTATCATTCAGGTAGCAGCCTCTAGTAAGCTAAGGAGAATCTTATAATAACATATTCTAGAGAATGGTTATCGGATGTAAACCAAAGCCTCAGTTCTCCAAGTCTATTAGTTTTCCCAACTCAATTTGACATCTGCTATAAAGGTGACATTGTGATGAAGACTATGGCAGACTCTCTAGAAGAGTAAAATGCGTTCCTTTCCTCAAGGAACTTAATGATCAGAAATGGAGATATGTATATTCAACTTACCATGCCAATGGGTTGTTGGAAAAGTAATCATGTATTTTTTTATGTTTTTCTATGTAAACATGTATTATGACTTTTCTGACAACCCAATAGAAGGGAGATGATGATATGAGTCTGTGCAGGGAAGGGTTAAGAGAGACCCTGGACCCCAGGAAGGTGTCAAAGATATTGGTTTCATCAGGACCATTTGTTGAGTCTTTGACACAATATAAATTACCCGAGTCCTATGATGCTGGTAAACCAGCAAGGTTAGAGGAATCCTTCCAACCTTCTGTACAACGGAACCATCCTTCCCAATGTGACTTTGACAAGACTCACAAATGCCTCCTTTGTTTTTCTGTCACATGGTCAGAAATGAACACTTCAAATTTCTATTTGTTGTCTCATAGATGTTTAGACAGACCATACCCAGTGATCAGCTGGAACAAAATGCTTGTTCACCAAACATGAATCAGCTTCTCTCATTCCCTGGGACCCCTGGACATTGACTGATCCTCAGCCTGATCTAGCAATAGACCCTTTTTAAGGTGCCCTTCTGGACTGTAGGCAGACTTAGATTTTCTGATCTACTGCCTCTCAGTTAATCTTATCTACCCTATTTGCCTACACTTGGTTCTTTAAAACCTCATTTACTCCTTTTTATAAATGAAAACCCCTTTTTAATTACCCTCAAGACACTTGCAGTTCTCATTGTCTGAGGATTCTCACTATTGCAGTAGTCTCAATCCTCCATTGAAATAATCCTTTCTTCCTTTCTTGCAATAATCCTTGCAAATAAAGTCTCTCCTTACTAACATCCAGTATTGGCTTTTATTTGACAATACCCTCTGGCTGACTGAAGAATTCTTCATTCCATGAACATGCTCATGACTTCTTATTAGGAAATAAAATAAAGTACTTATTTTATCCTTAATGCCTTATTTACATAAATCCTAATAATTTATTTCCTGAAACCACAGTGCATGGATCCGCTTACCGGTAACCCTGATGAATTTCTTCTACTTTAATTTACTGAGGTCAGTTTATCCCAGGCTTTTAAACCCCTAGATTGTCTTGTGACTTTTTCTACTATTTCCCCAGACTTAATATAAAAGCTACAGCCCATGGGCCTTGGATGGAGGGAAACCTAGTTTTTAGTTTTCTACTAGGGTTCCCTAGACCTGACCTTTACACTAACACCTCCTGGAGCCTAGTCCCTGAGCCTTCAGTGCATTATTTATACTGGAATTCATCGGTCAGTGATTTTGCCCCCAGTGGACACTGGCAAAGTCAGGAGATATTTTTGGTTATCAGAACTGGACAGAGTCAGTGCGTAGTATCTAGGGCGGTAAAGGCCCGTAGGGTGTGTGGAAGCTGCCAAACACCCTACACTACAGCCTGACCTTTAGTAACAAAGAATTATCTGGTCTGGAATGTGAATAGTGCCAAGGTTGATAAACACTGATTTACATGGAAATCTCTGATTCTAGAAAATTTAGTCGATAGATGGTTACTTATTCAACAATTGTTGGGCTGGCCCCATAGCCTGGTAGTTAAGGGAGCCAGATCTCACATGAGCAATTGTGGTTCAAATTCCAGCCCTAGTGGAAAACATGCATGGCACATGTGCATGTGTGCTCAACATCCTGACAAACTGGATTAATGGAGAAGGATTGGGGTGACCATCTGCACTAGGGGACTTAGTCCTTTTTCCTCTCACTGTCTCTCTGTCTCTCTGGGGAACACAGGCATCCGCACTAGGGGACTTTGTCCCTTTCCCTCTCACTGTCTCTCTGTCTCTCTGGGGAACACAGGCATCCTCTTTGGCAATTACAAAAGAGAGAAAGAAAGAAAAGCATTGAAGGCAGGAAGCAACATTTGCCTAAGGGATATAGCTACATTTATCCAATCACTTTGTGCCTATTAGCTCCATGAGGTGCTTAACGCTTTTAGAGGAAAAAATGACCAGCAATTGGGTGACAGAAATTTATTTATTAGTTTGCAACATCAGGTACAACATAGAACTTCATCACATGATTATAATCCAGATTTGTGCTTTGTAGGTAAGTAAACATTTATTTGAGCACAACAAAACTCTGCACACAATGTTCTTGAATTGATTAAAAAATAAATATATTCTTTCCATTTAATAGCACAAAGAAGCACATTTTAGTTTCAGATGATGGATATATTTTAAAATTTGACATTTGCTTAATGTGTCAAATTAAACATATAACCTAAATTTGGGCCATTTGAATAACTGGGCACTGGGAAAGACACCTGGGGTGGGTGGGTGAGGCAGGAAGTATGGCTTGCAGGGAAGCTTTTCTGGCATTTAAAATCGTGGATGACAGGTTAGGGAAGACCACCACTAATTATGTAGGGCATTGTTCTCATCTGAAATTACTTTGCAATCTTCAAAAATAGAGTAAAAGTATAGTATTTTAGGAAATCATTACTAAATACCTCCTTGATCCAGAAAATAAAAGTTAGCATAGCTCATTTAGTTGTAAGGAAAGAAGACTTATTAGGGAGACATCAGGTACTTTTAATTTTCAAAAGACTAAATATCTCCTATTAAAATACTTAAAATATAATAAAGTTCCCTGTTCTCAAACTCACTGCCAACATCTTTGAGTCAGGAAAAGTTCATGCTTCTACTCGATCCTGTCAAACCCAAGGCTACCTACCCTCATCTGTCATTGCAAATGTTGGAGTAGCATGTCTGCCACGGATACGGGTACCAACACCTTCACAATAAAGTGAATCACTGAGTTCGATGTCAGTATATGACTTTGTGCAATGATCTTTTCATACCTCATGAGCCTCTGAGCTAACTTAATATATTATTTAAGGTAACAATCTCTTCATAATTTACAATAAAAATAAATGAAAGTTTACATTTCATGTAATTCAATACACAAGCAGATTTTATCTTAAAAGACCTTTTTTTGTAAGAAAGTTTTCTCTTAGAATAAGAATTCTGTAATCATGTTACTTAAGTAATATTGTGATGGAAGTAAGACGATCTTTAATCTTTCTGTCTTTCAGTTGAATGCCAATAGTCTTCTGGTTAGCTATGAGCCCAGCTGTTATTGGGGAGAAGTCAAATACTTATCAGTGGATTGCAGTGATTAAATAAACTGACTTCAGTTGAGGACACTGATATACTTTTACATTTCTGCTAGTATTCATTGATGTTGGTCTTTAAAATGGTTATCTTTTTTTTTTTTTTTTATAAAAGCCTAGAAATTTCTCATCTATATCTTAAGCATTTCTCTGGCCTGGCACCCATTTAATTTGCTCAGAGAAGTAAAATGAAAGTTACAGTGTAGTTTATAAAATGACTTTGACTGATGTGTTTGTTTCCAGTTGAGTCACACAACTGGAGGCACTGCGTATTATTTTATCTTCTTCACTGTATTTGACTGCAGCTTTCCCAGAGTTTGGGCCTAGTTATATGCTTTCTAATTTGGGCCCCATTGAAGTTTCTCTTTTTCCAGCTATTCCACCACAAGCTTTTTGGGCTTACACAGGTTTCATTGACTTGTACAGATCTAAATTTTGCTTTTCGTCATATTTATTCCACGTGCAGTGGACTTGAGTGGCAGATTTTGAAGTATATGTATATATATAGTCTTGCTAGTGTGATGTGATGGGTGGAGAAAATCTCGAGCAGGTAGAGCAAATCACTGTAACCAAAGCTGAAGTAAAGAGAAGGAATGCTCTACAGGACACAGCTGCCTTATCCCAGTTCCAAGAGCCAGTCAAAGAGACTCGGGGTCCCATCTCTCCGTTCCTCATGCATTTTGCAGTACTGGACAACTGCGTGAAAGATATCCCCCACTTTCCAGGACTTCTGATGAACCAGCCGCACCACATCTAGAAACTAAAATCAAACACAGAGTTAGGGCGTGTGTATCACAGGACTCCTCCAAGTTATCCCAATCAAGCACCCTCCCAAACCAAGGGCTCTCCAGTCCATGTGTGAATGTCTCTAGTGTAAGGAAACTATTTTCCAGGACAGTGTATTTCCCCTTTAAGCATTTCAGATTATGAGAGAGTTCCTTCAACTGAACTAGAATTTTCTTCACAGGAATTGGTATTTATCAATTGCAGGGGACTAGAGAGAACAAGGTTATTTCATCTTTCAAGTTAGTCTTTTAGACATTTGAGCTTAGTCAGCTCTACTTTTCTCTAGGTTACACACTCTGGAATTGGACTGTGTAAAAGGTTCCCAGTCCCTTTTCTCTCTCTCTCATAAATTATCTCTCATAAACCAAGTGTTAAACTTTTAGGTAAGGCCCCTTACTGGTTTCTTTTACCGCTTTGTGATTCAGCCCCTCTCCTTTTATGCTGAAAGCAAGCATCAAGTGTACCCAACTTTCCACAGCAATAAGAAAAGGAAAAATGGGGGAACACGTGTCACCTGGCTGTTGGTACCAACTTTGGTTAGTCACAACTTCGAAAGTTCCAGACTGCCAGTGCCTTGTGAGCATAAAGGGATGGAAGATGAGAAATCACTATAAATGTCATCCTCTCTGTGAAACTGTGTGATGAATCCACTGAGAAGATCTCTCCATCTCTTTCATCAGCTACTTTTTAAGTGAAGTGACAATTAATAAAAGCAGTAGGATAATTTTTTGTAAGTATATAATTTGTTTATTAAAATATTTTTGGTAAGGAAGATTTATATATTTAAAACATGAAGAACCACATCTTGAAAACACCATTCCCAATCTAAAATAGTCTGAGTTCTTCTCCCAGCTTCTCAATCTTCCATGGATTTACATATGTATTAACTTGAAAGATAGTCTGATAATTATAGACACTGAAAATTAAGTAAAGATAATTATAATAGCAATAATTAACACATAATACAAAAATAATAATAGCTACTATTTTCCTCAGGACTTTCTTTTTTCTTTTTTTTTCCTCTTTTAAAGAGATTTTTGCTGTAGGGCATGTATACTCACTGGAGCGATAGGGAGACAAAAACAAAGTGTGAAATCACCCCTCAGAGGGATGGCCATGCCACAATCTCTTCTCCTCCATTTTCCTCTTGGGATTTGGGACAAGCCTGGCATGAGTTTTAAGCTGCTGGGTCAGGGACTTGAACCACAGTCGACTATGTGGGAGTCCAGTAATGTAACATTATTTCATCCACTGGTCCCAATTTTCTCAGGACTTTCTTTGTGCCAGACAACACGCCAAGTGCTCTTGGTGGTTATTTGATTTAATCCTCAGACTTCTGAAAAGTCAGTACTGTTTCTCGATTTTATTAATTTTTTTTCATGTACTCTCATTCAGTTGTGTTAATAACCATGGGATCGAGGCATTTGCAGATGAGAAATACTGAGGGTTTCAGAAGTGAAAAACTGGTGGTAAGAATATGTCTTCTAACACTCCAATGCAATGTTACCTCTGCTATAGTACCTTCTGTGGTTTGGTATAAATGAATATAGAACTAACATTTATTTGGATCACTCAGAGGAAAAACAGACTGGGAAGTCTAGTATTATTTGATGAAGAAGAAAGCCCTGTTTTTGTTTAAAAAATGAGGACTGTGGTTCATTATCATTTCTTCAACTTAAAAAATATTTATTCATTTAATTCCATTTGTTATTATTATTATTGTTATTATTTTTAAATTTGACCAGAGAGAGTCACACAGAGAGAGAAAGAGAAAGCAAGAAAGCAAGCTGTCAGGTTCGGGACTTGAACTGTATGCCATGTGGGAATCCAACATCTCTAACCACCACACAAACTGCCAGCCCTCTTTAACATTTCCTTCTAGGATTTTTTTACTCTCTTCTTTTTGTATTTGTCTACTTCAGAGATCAGTCAGAAACTGTGATGCTAATTTCTTTCCAGATTGAATTTGCTAATTCACTTCAATTACTGAGAAGTTGCTTCATATAGAGTCATTATTAATTATGTTTCCTCTCCCAGCTGTGATGGCACCAACTATTTGCATAGTTACAGAAATCAGTGTTTTATTGTACTTGCTTGTATTGTGTTGGCTTAATCGGAATAAAGCAATTTTCTAGGCTCGGAAATGAAATACTTAACTTTTAATACCTGGAAACATAAACATTATCATAAGCAGTTTTAGGATGTCGTGAAAAGGGAGACAGATGGCAGGCAGATGGTAAGTATATTATAGAAACTAATCCCCCAAGGGAACATCTTAGCCATCTTGTCAGTTCTTGTACCTGTCTCTAGGGGGTGCTCAATGGATAGTTACTGAATGATAGAAGAGATGGATGACCACATGTGAGATAAATACATTCGAAGTTCTCAAGAAGACTATGTGACACATGGAGGGACACCTGACATCATGGAGGATGAACCTCCAGTAAGACCAGTGAACCTCCAGCAGTCTTAGAATTTCAGAGAAATAGTTGCTTAGGACCCCTCACCATCCTGCTTAGCTTTTTGATAGTTTAAGAAGAGAGTGCAAATCCTTTAGGGTAAGGCTTTGCTGATTGGGCAAATACCTTCAGGAAGGGGAACATGCCAGGCAGCAATTAGCCATTTACAGAGATAAGTAAAAATAATTCTGTGAGTTGATACTTATTTCTCATTGTGTGTGAAAGATCTAAGTCATGTTTTTGGTTGAAAAAAGGGACAAAAACATGAGGCCTCCGAATAGTGGACCTGAAGGGAAAAACAGGGACGAAGTTCAGGATGTCTTTGTATGACATGACCAAACAGCCTTTTCTGCTTTCCAGCTTTTACTGGAGGTCTAGGAAGTAGATGTTCTCACTGAAGGGCTGTACAGCACGTTTCTGTGGTCTTCCTAAGCGAGGTTCATGGATCATTGGCTTCCCTCTTCAGTGGCCTTCAGCCCTCACCCCTTGAGGATGCCTCCTCTCTCCCTTAGCATGTCTTATAAAGATGCAATCAATGTAAAAGACACAGAAACATAAAGGTAGTCTTTGCTCCTTTCTGTTTTGTTTGTTCGTTTATTTGTTTTTTCTTTTCTGTAAACCCTGACTCACTAAGCCCAAGATTTATCCCTGCGTCATTGCCTGAGGTAGGAAGAATCGAAGCAGGGGCAGAGGCCAGTATTTGCTTAACCCCTCCCAGAAGACTCACTGCCTCAACTTTCTGGGAGCCCAACACTAGCTGGTTTTCACCATCTGAGACCTGTGAAGGAGTCTCTTACTGTGGTGATGGCCACAGGATTCTCTGACCAACTCGAAGTCATTCGTATGCCCCACCAGCTAGACCTCTCTGCCAGTAGTTAGTAGTTGTGGAATCGTCACAGGCCAGGGTCTGTCCCATGACATGATTTCCAAGTCCAGGCTGATAGCCCAACAAAGAGCTTTTTTTTTTTTTTTAAATTTTGTTTTGCCATAGGACATGTGCACTCAAAAGAGGGCATGTGCACTCACTAGAGAGACAGAGAGAGGGAAAGTGAGAATTCACCCACAGTGGGACTGGTCACACAATCTCTTCTGCCCCATTTTCCTCCTGGATATTGGGCACACATGCACACGCACCCGGCTTGAGTTTCAAGCCACTGGATCCAGACGTGAACTGTGGCCGATCATGGGGGAGTCCAGTGCCTTAACTATATCACCTGCTGGCCCAACAAAGCAGTTTTTTAAAGCAATCTGACCCCACGATATGTAACATGCTCTGAGGCTCTGATGACTTAATATCAGACACTGAGACCTTGAAACATCTGTGGAACTCAAGAGCATGGTTTCTTTTCTTCCTTCATTTAAAAAATGTGTTATATCGAAATGAAGTAAAGACAGTAAAGGAACCAGTAAAGGATGTTCCTAGCTCATCATTATAATCTTGTTTTTATTCCTGAGGGAAAAAATAATTATATGATTTCTTATTTACATTCAATCATTGCACATCTCCATCGCACACAACATGGTTTTAAAACTGACTTCTCTAATAGCTGGTCCTAGAGCTTTCGTTGCTCCTACCCCTGCTATTGCCTTGCATTTTCATAATCTATTTCAGCATGTCAGGGATCCTGGTTTTTCTTTCCACTGCATTAACAAATATAAATAAAAACGTTCATTTCCTGAATGATTAGGATCCTATCCTATGGATCACAGTTGATTTTTTTGGACAAAGTTTTTTCTCAGGGAATTAGAAGAATTTGTATTCTGTGATGATTTATCACTGGTACACTGATTTGTAGAAAAACATCATGAGGCAGATGACTTTTATTTTCAGGGGCGTTTAATAACTGGATGAATGATTTACAAAATCATATGGTAGAATCTACAGAAGTTATTTTCTAGCTGTGCAGATTTTTCGAAACCTTCCATTTAGGTTTTAGAAAGTAACTCCAAGGTCAAATTCACAAGCAGTGATGGGAAAGTTGAGCTGCTTCAATATTAATTCATGATAACCTTTTCCACTACAGTACATGCCTCTATAGTCACAAGGCAAGGTTAGTAAGTTAGAACACTTCAACAGGTAACATGTTGACTAAATTAATTTGTGCAAAATATTTAGGGATTCACACAAACAAGGTCTTGGTATTCATATGTGAGTGGTATTCAGTCCGAGTGACTCCGAGTGACATGGAGGAGATGACATCTTCTGAGCTTAACAGAGCTGTTTCTTTAACCTTCTGAAAAGGGATGGGAAGCTAATGAGATACTGTTGCTCTTGCCTGACATGGTTTCTTGGGAAGCTGTCTTTTCCACACCACTTGAAAATGGCCACTTAACAACCTGGCTAATTAAAAAGCAAGTAGGATGAGGTCTTTAGTGATAAAACACTGCTGATAAAAGAAAGAATGTCAAAATATTGCTTAAGGATTTTCTTTATTTAACCAGTTCAATCAGAGACAATAAATGGTGCCATTTATGGAAAATCCACTCTGTGCAGAGTGTCTTACTTGATGTCTAG